TCTGCCTCAGCCTCCCAAAGTGCTGACATTACAGGCAAGAGCCATGCCCAGTCACGCCCCCCGTCTTTTTTAAACATTAAATAAAACTGTATGCCCATATTGTAGATGGAAAAAATGAGGCTCAGGGAGGTTTCTGATCCTGCCATTAAGTGGTGAAGTCAGAATTTGAACCTGGATCTGATTCAGAGTCCTGTTCTCTCCACTGACTGGATCCTACTTCTTCGGGGGGCACACAGGGAAGGCCACAGTGATGGGGAATGGGCGCAGGGAGGCATCTCTGGTGGGAATTCTCCCAAGGGAGCAGCCACACAGGGCCTGGCATGACACTGGTGGCCTGGCCTCACCCCTGTGGGGACCAGAACTATGTGGATGCAGTTTTCCCTCCCCACCGGTTGCCATGGAGACGGGGGTGGGATGCGTGAAGATCTATCTCAAGCCTTCTACCCAGGCTTGTCCCAGAGACGCTGGCAGTGGGTGGACACACTAGCATTGAGAGAAAGGAAGGAAAAGGCTGGTCTTTACCTCTTTTTTTCTTTTTATTGTGAAAAGCTTCAAGCACACATAGGAACGGAGCCTGTGGTACAATAAGCTTGGCTTCAGCAGTCAAGTTCCAGCCAACCTTATTCCATCCACGCCCTCTTCCCCTTCCCTCATCCCATATTACTCTGAATCAAATTTCAGACGTCAGTCATTTCTTGTATAAACATTTCAGTGTGTAACTCCAAAAAAAATTTTTTTGGCCACCTTCACTCTTCCTCAAACTGTTTAGTAACAATAATGCTTTTACTATCAGCAAATATCCAGTTAGTATTCAGATTTCTCTGGTGATCTCATAAAACGCCTTTTTTTTTTCGTGACGGAGTCTTGCTCTGTTACCCAGGCTAGAGTGCGGTGGTGTGATCTCAGCTCACTGCAACCTCCGCCTCCTGGGTTGAAGAGATTCTCCTGCCTCAGCTTCCTGAGTAGCTGAGATTAGAGGTGCACACCACTGCACCCGGCTAATTTTTGTATTTTTAGTAGAGATGGGGTTTCACCATCTTGGCCAGGCTGGTCTTGAACTTCTGACCTTGTGATCTACCTGCCTTGGCCTCCCAAAGTGCTGGGATTACAGGCGTGAGCCACCGCGTAAAGTTCGAATGTTGCCATCGGTTGGGATGGCTTTTGTATCTTTCCTAATCTGTAGGTTCTCTCCCCTTGTCTTTTTCTTCCCTTGCAATTTATTTGTTGAAGAAACTGGCTTGTTTGTTCTGTAGTTTCCTGTGGTCTGAATTTTGGTTATAGCATCTCCACAGAAGTGTCATGTGCTCCTCTTCCCGCTATATTTCTTAGAAATTGGTAGTTAGGTCTAGAAGCTCACTTAGATTGATGTTTGCTTTTTTTTTTTTTTTTTGGTTGAGTACTTCCTATTGGTGGTTTTGTACTTCCATTCAAAGGCACATACTATCTGGTTGTTCCTCTTTGTGATGTTAGCAGCTATTGTTGATTTGTTGATGGTCGTTGTCTAGATCCACAATTCCTTCCTTTTTTTTTTTTTTTTTGAGGGGTCTTGCTCTGTCACATAGGTTAGAGTGCAGTGGTGCAATCATAGCTGACTGCAGCCTTGACCTCCCAGGCTCAAGGGATCCTCCCACCTGAGCCTCCTGAATAGCTGGGACTACAGGCACATGCCCTCACCTGGCTACTTTTTTTTTTTTTTGGTAGAGACAGGGTCTTGTTGCATAGATAAGTCTGTGTTGCCCAGGCTGGTCTTGAATTTCTGGCCTCCAGCAATCTTCCCACCTCAGCCTCCAAAAGTATAGGGATTACAGGGATGAGCCACTACACCTGGCCCATTATTTCATTAGAGATTACAACATGGTAGCATACTGATTCTATGATTCTGTCTTTGGTAGTGGACGTGTATCTATAAAAGGTATCAATGTATCAACTATTTGGCTACCACAGAGTATGGTTTGTACCAAAAAGGATAAATGCTTCTTTCCCTTTGACAGTTTTCAAAATGAGTTGGTTTTCCAATATCCTCCCAAGGTGATAAATTAATTTATTTTTCTTTTTTTTTTAAGTATTGTCAACTCACAGATTTGGACATATACGATATGTTTCAATCCATTACAATCAGTATTCTTTTTTTTTTTTTTTTTGAGATAGTGTCAACTCACAGATTTGGACATATACGATATGTTTCAATCCATTACAATCAGTATTCTTTTTTTTTTTTTTTTGAGATAGGAGTCTTGCTCTGTCACTCACCTAGGCTGGAGTGTAGCGGCACAATCTTGGCTCACTGCAACTTTCGCCTCTTGGGTTCAAGTGATTCTGCTGCCTCAGCCTCCCAAGTAGCTGTAATTACATGTGTGCGCCATCACACCCAGCTACCTTTTTATGTTTTTGGTAGAGATGGGATTTCACCATGTTGGCCAGACTTCAAGTGATCCACCCACCTTGGCCTCCCAAAGTGCTGGGATTACAGGTGTGAGCCACCGCACCTGGCCTACAGTCATTATTCTTAATGATGCTCAAACTGTCCCATTGGGAGCCACTCCACGTTGTCTCCTGCATCCTTTTCAGTATGACCCTGGAAGTCATTGACACCTTCCTTGCTATCAACGAAGCAAGGAATGACCAGATATTCCAGGCTCATCTTGAATTTTTTCTTAACTCAGACCTGGAATTGGTCATTTCTCCATGCCCTCGTTTCTAGTCAGAAGTGGTGTTTAGAAACCATAACCTGGGTGCTGGGGTGTCCACTGCCACTGGATGGCTCATTATTTCTAGACTTTGTGGTGGACAGAGCTAGCAAACACCTGCTTTACTTTGTAAGACAAAAATATAGTACGAATTCATACTGATGCTTCCAATTCCAATTTGGGGCTACAGGTTTTTCACCTTGTCTCTGTGATCTTACGTGGGCATCTCCTTTCTTCCATGACCATGTGACAAAGCCTGTTTGTAAAAGCAAAGCTCTCCACTGTGATTCTCATCAAGCTGGAAGCGTGTGAGAAAGCACTTAAGTTTCTTCCCTCGGATATGAACCTGAGCTCTCTGATGAGGTGGTTTAGAAGTGGCTCTGGGAGAAGCCCACTTCTTGGTCACAAGAAACTGCATTCTCATGGCAGATGAACCAGCTGCTTTCAGCATCCGCTATGTGGGTCCTCACACCTAACTCCTTTACATACTGGCTGCACACTGGCATCACATGGGGAAGTATAAACACCTCTGATGCCTGTCCCTACCCAGCTTAATCACAGTGAAGTCAGTCAGATTCTCTGGGCCTGGGACCCTACCATCATTTTTTAAAAAGAATTGCAGGGGCTGGGCGCGGTGGCTCACACCTGTAATCCCAGCACTTTGGGAGGCCGAGGCAGGCGGATCACGAGGTCAAGAGATCAAGACCATCCTGGCTAACACGGTGAAACCCCATCTCTACTAAAAACACAAAAATTAGCCTGGCGTGGTGGCAGGTGCCTGTAGTCCCAGCTACTCGGGAGGCTGAGGCAGGAGAATGGCGTGAACCCGGGAGGCAGAGCTTGCAGTGAGCCAAGATCACGCCACTGCACTCCAGTCTGGGAGACAGAGAGACTCCGCCTCAAAAAAAAAAAAAAAAAAGAAAAAGAAAAGAAAAAAATTGCAGGTAGGCCTAGCATGGTGGCTCACGCCTGTAATCCCAATACTTAGGGAGGTCAAGGCGGGTGGATCACCTGACGTCAGGAGTTCGAGACCAGCCTGGCGAAACCCCATCTCTACTAAAGATACAAAAATTAGCTGGGCGTTGTGGCAGGCGCCTATAATCCCAGGTACTTGGGAGGCTGAGACAGGAGAATTGCTTGAATCTGGGAGGCAGAGGTTGCAGCGAGCTGAGATTGCACCACTGCACTCCAGCCTGGGTGACAGAGCGAGGCTCTATCTCAAAAAAAAAAAAAAAAAAAAAATTGCAGGTAATTCTAATGTGTAGCCAGGGGTTACAATCACTGCTCTGTTCCTTGCTTCTCAGCAGAGGGAAGAAAAAGAAGCAACACGGCTGGCAGATGAACTCTGCCTTCAAAGCCCATTAGCTTGGGCTTGAATTCTGGCACTGCCAGGTTCTAGCTATGAAATCTGAATCCAGCCGGGCGTGGTGGCTCACGCCTGTAATCCCAACACTTTGGGAGGTTGAGGCAGGTGGATCCCCTGAGGTCAGGAGTTCAAGATCAGCCTGGCCAGTGAAACCCCATCTCTATTAAAAATACAAAAATTAGCTGGGCATGACGGCATGCACCTGTAGTCCCAGCTACCCAGCAGACTGGGGCAGGAGAATCGCTTGAACCCAGGAGGTGGTGGTTCCAGTGAGCCGAGACTGCACCATTGCACTCCAACCTGGATGATAGAACAAGCCTCCATCTCAAAAAAAAGAAAAAAAAAAAAAGGAAATCTGAGTCAGTGCTGATCAATAGCACTCGCGCAACCTTCAAATGGTCTATATCTGCACTGTCCAACGTGGTAGCCATCAGCCACACAAGGCTGCTGGGCACTTGAACTCATTGTTAGTGCAACCTAGGGAGTCAACTTTAAAATTTATTTAATTTTAACTAATTTACACATCAATAGCCACAAGGAGCCATAACAGCTACTGTCTTGGACAGCACCACTCTAGAAAATGACCGAACGTCTCGTGGCTTCACATCCATAAAATAGGGAATAATAGGGGTTATTTCACGGGATATTGTCAGGATTAGTGTCAGGATTAGATATAATGTATATAAAGTTCCTGGTTCCCACAAAGCACTCAATAAAATGCTGCTTATTTATTAACATCAGTCTGATACTCAAGAAAAAAAAAATTGCCTGGAAAACAAATATTCAGAAGCACCCTGTCACAGAGGCTAGAAATTCAGAGCCGTTCCAGAGAAACTCGGAAAATATTCCTTAATTGTAGAAGTTCAATTGCAGCAGGAGGTTATCAGTTACAAGGGCTGTATTTCACTACAGATCCAGCCGCAGCTCAATAAATTAAGCAATCACTGAGAATAACATGTTGCTTTAATCCCCTCTCTTGGAGCCGTTCCAAGTTGTTTGGTTTTATATGCGCTCAGCCCTGAAAGGGGACTCATACTGGGCTCATTTCTTTCCCCTCAATTCTTCAGCCCCTCTCTGGAAACATCTTTGCATCTTCCAACCAGCAGGAGAGAGGATTCCAAGGCAAGCAGGCCTCCTTTTATCAAAACCGGAGCCTTTTCCATCCTCTGGCCTTGACGCGTTCCACGTTTCATTTGCTGAAATTACTGGCAGGTTTATCTGCAACGAAAAAAAAAAAAGACACCTCTTAGCAGCCCAGTTCTGGGCGTGTAGAGAGAGCTAACTCTCGGCGGGTTTTCCATTCTCATCTTCTCTCGAGTGGTTTATAATCTCACAGCAGAATTTTGCTTCCCCTAGAAACTTGGCACGGGAGGTGTCAGCCTGGGAACATATTTGTTTGTGTAAATTAAAAGAAGAATATGTTTTGACCATATTTAAGTTCTAACTGCACTAAAGAAATAAATACTGACTTGCACAACGCTTCTCGCTGCCGCACGGTTCTGGCTCACCTCCCCAAACTCTGCCTTTGTTAATAAAACCTACACTAACAAGAGCTCTAAATAGCTTATCTCCTCAGACAGCTACAGGGACAACCTCAGAGGCCATGTCTGCCCCGACCCAGGCCCACATAGAAAATCCACTTACCTCATGTGGGATTTGCTTCTCCTGACACACCGCACTCTTGCTGGGGTAGAAAAGGGTGTCAGAAACAGCACCCTCACCAATGTAGGTTTGTTTTTTATGGTGGGGGAGGGACAGGGTCTTACTTTGTCACCCAGGCTGGGGTATAGTGCTACAATCACAGCTCACTGCAGCCTTGACCTCCCGGGCTCAAGCGATCCTCCTGCCTCAGCCCCCTAAGTAGCTGGGACTACAGGCATGCACCACTATGCCTGGCTAATATTTGTATTTTTTGTAGAGACAGGGTTTTGCCATGTTGCTCAGGCTGGTCTTGAACTCTTGAGCTCAAGCCATCCTCCTGCCTCAGCCTCTCAAAGTGCTGGGATTACAGGCGTGAGCCACCGAGCCCAGCCTCTACAGGTGTACCCTTGATGTGCACGTGAATGGTAACCTTTTGAAGGCCCTGGGTAATAGCTGTAGAAATTTACAATGCACACCTCTTGGCTGGGAGCGGGGGCTCACATCTGTAATCCTAGCACTCTGGCAGGCTGAAGGATGGCTTGAGCTCAGGAGTTCAAGACCACCCTGAGCAACATGGTGAGACCCTGTCTCTACTAAAAAATACAAAAAAATTAGCTGGGTGTGGTAGTGCATGCCTGTAGTCCCAGCTATTTAGGAGGCTAAGGCAGGAGGACTACTTGAGCCCAGGAGGTGGAGGTTGCAGTGAGTCAAGATCGTGCCACTGCACTCCAGCCTGGGCAACAGTGTGAGATTGTCTCACAAGAAAAAAAGAAAAAAAGAAAAAGCACATCTCCTCTGACCAAGAAATTCCACTTCTAGGAATTTATCCTACAAGTATTCTTGGTCACATGCCAAAGACTATAGATGTTATAAAGGCAAAATCCTCGAGTTAACTGAAATGTTGGCCAGTAGAAGACAGGTTAAGTATGATGCAATGCTAGGAGTCCTTAGAAAGAATGAGGTGGGTCTAAGAGCTGTCGAGATATATTATATACCCCCAACTTTCTTACCACTATGAACCAAAAAAAGTGCATGCTTTCTTTTTTTTTTTTTTTTTTTTTTAAGACGGAGTCTCGCTCTGCCACCCAGGCTGGAGTGCAGTGTCCGGATCTCAGCTCACTGCAAGCTCCGCCTCCCGGGTTCACGCCATTCTCCTGCCTCAGCCTCCCGAGTAGCTGGGACTACAGGCACCCGCCACCGTGCCCAGCTAGTTTTTTGTATTTTTTAGTAGAGACGGGGTTTCACCGTGTTAGCCAGGATGGTCTCGATCTCCTGACCTCGTGATCCGCCCGTCTCGGCCTCCCAAAGTGCTGGGATTACAGGCTTGAGCCACTGCGCCCGGCCATGCTTTCAAAATTTATAAAGATTGTGCAAACTGCCCACAGTGGTTGTCTTATAAAGTGAAGTTGGAGTTAAAGAAAAATTGCAGGGCAGGCGTGGTGGCTCAAGCCTATAGTCCCAGCACTTTGGGAGGATGAGGTGGGAGGATTGCTTGAGGCCAGGAGTTCAAGACTAGCCTGGACAACATAGTGAGACCCTGTCTCTACAAATAATAAGAATAATAATAATTAAATAAAAATGGTGGCATGAGCCGCTACTCTGGAGGTTGAGGCAGGAGGATCACTTGAGTCCAGGAGTTCATGGCTGCAGTGAGCCATGATCACACCACTGCACTCCAGCCTGGGTGACAGAGTGAGACCCTGTCTCTAAACACAATAAATTAATTAAAAAGGCAAATCGTCCCTTTATTTCCACCTTATTCTCTTTTGTATTTTTTCTCACTATAGGCATAGTTTCATTTTTAAAATTTGGCACAATTAAAGAACATACAATGGTGTTTTAAAAATCATTTCCACACTCTGTGCTCCGTAATAACAATACCGCAATAATACTCTCTTTATTGCATGCCTGCTAGGACAATGGAGTTGGGGGGAGGTGAGAATCTCTGCTTTTCTGATTTATTTATGCAGATAACCTGCAGTAGGCTAAATAGCAGCCCCCAGAGAGAGAGTAAGTATGTCTACTTTCAAATTGAATCCCTGGAAAAAGACTGATTAAGGATCTTGAGAGGAGGCATTTGTTCTGGATTATCCAGATGGGAACTAAACGCAATCCATGTATCCTTCTAAGAGAGAAGCAGAGACCAGGACAGAGAGAAGAGGAAGATAAGAAGACGGAGGCAGAGACTGTAGTGATGCGGCCACAAGCCAAGGAACGCCAGAGCCACTAGAAGGTGGAAAAGACAAGACACACATCTTGCGTTGTGTGCCTGGAAGGAGTGCAGCCCTGCTAGATTTCCAACTTCTGGCCACCAGAACTTTGAAATGAATCTGCTGTGTTAAGCCCTGTGGTCTGTGATAATTTGTTATAGCAGTCCCAGGAAAAAAAGATATAACCAGACGTCCCTTATACCTGTTAGAAGCATGAAATGCACAGGTACATGAGAAAACAAGTTTGATAGACCTGTTTGTGTTGGCAAACACAAATAATCCATTCATTACAGACACTTACTGAGCATCTATTAGGTGACAGGCACAGTTCTAGGTGCTGAGGATACAGCCAGGATAGAACACAACAAAGAAGCGTGCCCGCCTGGAGCTGACATTTCAATGAGGGAGAAATCAACAAAATAAATAGAACACGAAGGAGGGTGGATGGTGGTAGAAGGTGCTACAGAGAGCGAGGAAGCAGAAAAGAGGGACCAGGCGGTGAAGGAAGGGGGATTGGAGTAGAGGCTTGAAGGTGGTAAGGGCATGAGGGGTGTGTCTACCTGAGGGAAGACAAGTAGAAAAAGGAAACTAGGGACTGGGCACAGTGGCTCAGGCCTGTAATCCCAGCACTTTGGGAGGCCAAGGTGGGTGGATCACTTGAGGTCAAGAGTCTGAGACCAGCCTGATCACCATGGTGAAACCCATCTCTAGTTTAAAAAAAAAAAATATATATATATATATATAAAACAAATATATATAAAACATATATATAAAACATATATATAAAACATATATATATTTTATTTTCCCTCCTCCTCTCTGGCATCCAGGCTTTAAAGAGGTGGACTTGTCACTACCAGTGGTCTCAGACAGTAAGGCCAATAAGCAGAGAGGAGGAGAAATGAAAGATGAGGTGAGGGGGATAAGGCAGGAAAAAAACCCAGAGCTTCCAGTCCCTGAATCGTAGAGAGCAACACAATATATTATATATATAAAACATATATATAATATATAAAACATATAAAATATATGTTATATATAAACAAAACATGTATAAAACATACATTATATATATATAATATATACACACACACACAGACACACAAAATTAGCTGGGCATAGTGACGCACGCCTGTAATCCCAGCTACTTGGGAAGCTAAGGCAGGAGAATTGCATGAACCCAGGAGAGGGAGGTTGCAGTGAGCTGAGATCACGCCATTGCACTCCAGCCTGGGAAACGACAGCAAAACTCCACTAAAAAAAAAAAAAAAAAAAAAAAAAAGGAAAAAGGAAAACAGGCAGAGGGAACGAATACGGAACTTGAGCCTAGGAGTGACACATAAAAATAGGAAGGAACTCCCTTTTTCCCTCCTTCTTCCTCCCCCACCTCCCATACTTGCTATCTGCCTGCTGCGTACCAGGGCCTGGGGTACGGAGATGAATGAGGCCTCATTCTCAGGTTCGATGCCTTCCCTAGTAGGGGGACAGTCATAAACAGATCATTACAAATATAATGTGGTAGGCGTCACAGCAGAGGCCAGGGCAGGCTGCACGCGCAGGTCAGCGTGGGAAGGTGCGTGTGCGTTGGGGTTAAGGCTGGGGAGGTGGGAGTAAATTGATTAGGGCAGGACTTGAAATCGCAGCACGTGTGTTGAGCTGCAGTTCAGCTGGAAATTAACAGGAGGGGCGGTGGTAAACATGGAGATGGGTCTGGGATTCTTTTATTTTTAAGTACAGTCGGCACATCGGGACAGGAATATCAGTTCTGAGAATGACCTATCCCTTTCAGTTCTACACAATCCATGAAAAGGAAAACAGTTCCCAAGTCCTGAATTGGGACACTGTGGGTTGCAAACGGCAGACACTGAAGTTGATCTGAATGAGGTAGAACGAGGCATTTATTCACTGGGTAGCTACGATGAGGAAAGGGAAGAGGCTCTATTGCTTTCTACGATCCAGGGACAGAAAGCTCTGGGTTCTTTTCCTGCCTCATCCCCCTCACCTCATCTTTTATTTCTCCTCCTCTCTGCTTACTGGCCTTAATGTCTGAGGCCACTGGTGGTGCCAAGTCCACCTCTTTAAGGCCTGGATGCCAGAGAGGAGGAGGGAAAGGAACACCCTCCCCACAAGCTCTGCAGACAATCCTGAATTTGCTCTGCTTGAGTCACATGACTACACCTGGACCAATCACTGCATCCCAGCTCAGAAGTGGGCTGCTATGATTGGTCATGGTGGGTCACATGTCTATGCATGGACCAATTACTGTAGCCGAGAAACAAGTACTGTGGGTGGCCATTTTTGGCCATCTTCCCATGGTACTGGGGGGTCTGTTATCAGAAGTTGGGGAAAGTGTGCTGGCAGGAACAA